CAGTACCTTCAGAAGCTGCAGCCTACTATGTGCACGGGTATCGGGAGTACGACGAGTACCAAGAAGACGCCTACTACGGAGACGACGAACACACTGCGACGACGACGGTGGTGTTCACTACACATTCCACCGCGGACAAAGTTTCTACGCGGAGGCGGCCTGCTACAGCGAAACCGCCACGACTAACAACCCCACGCCAGACCAGGCGTATTATGTGGACCAGTACGATGGCATCACGGCAGCGTAGGACACGGACCACCGCCTCCCAACCCACCACCGCGAGCCACAGAGGAGTCGATGTGCCCACGATGCGGACGTGGAGGTCATTTCGCTTGACAGCGCCCGCATTAAAGTCGCAGGGGACAGCGCGTGGGCGATGATGATACGTAGGCACGAATGATGACCAACGCAATGGAGGACAAACGCCACTGAAGCGGTCTCGCCCCATCGGAGGCCATGCGCGACAGTGGGGCAACAAACGAAAATGCTGGACACGAGACGATCAAGGGGTATTGCAAAACGCTTATTTGCCAGATCTGTGATGGAGGAGCTCGGCATGGTCGTTGCTTTCATGAGTGACAGCGCGCGCTGGGAGGGCGACGGGAATGTGTTTCAGCTGCGCCAGTCAGTCTCAACATGTTGGGGAGTTCCGACGTGCATGAAGGGGCGCGCGGGGCGGACCTCCGTGCCGCAGAACATGTTGGACCATGTTCGCGCGCAGCGCCCGATCGGCCCACGCGCGTTTCTAGGGGGCGGTAGAAGGGATGCCACCGCACGAGGAGTCCGTGGATCTCATTGGAGCTACGGTGGAGATAGATCACACATATGCCGCGTGCGACGACAGCAGACGCGCGGCCAAATACTTCAGCATCAAGCAACTTGCTTCGATGTCAGGACACCGCAGAGGAAGCCAGCAAGGAGATTACCCAGGACATCCTCACGGCGAGAGGCACCCAGAAAGACAGGCGCAACACATTGGAGGCCTATGGCGGCTATTCAGAGTTAGCGAAAGCATTGCAACGTCGCGGACATGGCGCAAGGACGTTCGGATGGCACAACGGCTGGGATTCCAGCGAGAACAGCGAGCGAGAGATGTTTCTCCAGCTGGTCGACGAGGAGCAGCGGCGCGACATCTGGCAGAGCCCCGAGCGCCAGCGACGGTCGACCATGCAGGGGCGCAGTTGCAAGACGGAGATGGACCGAACAAGGGGGGACGCACGGAGGACCACGACACTCATCTGATGTTTTGCTGGAGGGTCTATCTTAAGCAGCGGCGCGAAGGTCGACGCGCGCGCGGGGCCGCCTGCCACCGCCCGCAGTTGAAGGGCGAAGGCGTCGCGCGAACTGCCGGGCCACCATGTGCCCATAGACCGGTGCATGACCAGACTAGAGATTCCAGGAGAAGACCCAGCACGATAAGGGGATAGAGTTCGCGCTGCCCGACGAGGAATGGCACTCGGACTCTATCACTGCGACATGCAGCGCGAGCAGCTCACCTGGGAGGCAAGATTCCAGGCGCCAGCGTCCACCGCGCGAGCTTCGCCGAGAACTGCGGGCCCCAGCTGTCGCAGATCCTGGGCGACCTGCTGGGGCAGCCCGTCGAGCAGGAAATCGGTGTCCCGGTTGCGGGCGTCGAGGAAAGCGAGGGCGCGATGGGGCGCGTCTGCAGAGCGACGGCGGGCCACGGCAACGACGAGTGCAAGGACGTCGATTCCAATGGGTTGCTGAGGGGCGAGTTCGCCCAGAATGTGGCCGGGCGCGCAGGGCGCCTCCACGGGGGCCTGGGCCACCCGAGCGTAGAGGTTGTCGCGCGCATGCCGGCGGCGGTTGGCGCGAGAGAGGAGGTCGCCCTGCGCGACGGGCGCCGCGCGTGCCCGACCTGCGCCGAGCGCCAGAAGGCGCCTCAGCCACCCGAGTCAGCGCCGTCATTTTGGAATCTGTTCAACCAAGCGCTCTACATGGATTTCTTTGAGTTCAAGTTGCAGTCGGGATCAGCCAAGATCGCGCGCCCGCTGGGCGGGGCCAGCTGGTTCCAGACGGCGACCGGCGAGACCGCCGGCGAGGCGTTCAAGTCAATCGAGAAGGCGCGGTTGGGCAAGGCACTGCGGCGCCCCGACGACGCTCGCGGCGGGCGAGCGCGGCGCAGCCTGCAGCCGCTGGATGTTCGACTGGGCCAGCGCGCGCAAGGTCAAGATGCGAGTTGCGCCTGGCGAAGCTCTTCGTGCACTCGGAGCGGTCGAGCGAGCTTGCCAGGCGTCGCGCGAGACGTTATTGGGGCGCGTCATTGAGAGTGCGCGACCGGCGCTGGACTTCGCGCCAAGTCAGATCGACCGCGCGATGCACCGCGAGGGTTCCAGCCCAGCACAGCGGGTCTTGAGCCGCAGCCCCGAACTCAACGACCCCCTGTCCGCCGAGGCGCTGCGCGCGCCAGCCTTCGGAGCCCGCGTGGAGGGGGGGGGGCGCGTCAGGGGGCGGCGCCGCGACGCGCGGCGGTAGCTCTGGCGTTCGTCGAGGCGGACTCGAGGGGGGTCAAGCCGGGGCGAAGCGTCCTGGCTCGCCTATAGCCCCACCGAAGAATGTTCTAGGAACCTTTCGTGGTTTGCACGAAATGTTCTCAGAACACTTATGATTGAGACTGTCTTGGTTTAACACATCGGGTAAATGTTCTAAGAGCATTGTTTTGGTGCTTAGAACATTTTTGGGCTCTGAGAACATTTCGTGGTACGACTGCAGGAATGCCGGGACGGTCGGCCCCTGCTCCAGGGGAGGCTGCGCGGGGCCTTTTCTGCGCACGAGGCGCGACGCTCGCGACGTCGCGAACGTCGGCGGGGAGCGCTGCGGCTGGCGCGATCGAGGAGCGACCCGACGCCAGAAGTCGCGCTGGAGAGGCCCCGCGACGGTGGATCCACTCGAGGACTCGGGGGAGGGGGCAGCCCAGGGTGCACTGGGTCGTGCGCGGCGGAAGCTTGTTGCGTTGCAGCCTGGACCGTATCGGACCTCCGGCGGGGCGCGTCGGCGAGCCCGCGCGACGAGCTGATTTGCGGCAGGCCCAGGCCACGCTGCAGGGGCTGCGGCGTGGAGGTCTCGCGCAGTTTTTCCGCGCCAGCCAGCTGCCGGGGCCCGCCGACGAGGGGCGGGGGCGACGACTCCGCGGGAGAAACCGAACCATGCCCCGCATTCGGAGCTGTCCACGTGCCGACGCTCGAGCAAGCAATGGCAGGTCAGTCGCGCAGGCGTCTGCACAGGGCTCGGAACCGCAGGAGGTGCCGGGGCCAGCCGGCCATGAGCTCGCAGACGCAGCAGAGAACCAAGGATACCAGACAATGACGATGCCGACCTCCAGCAGCAGCCGGCGGCGACGGACGCCCCGGCAGAGCTCGCAGCCCCAGCCCGACCCGCGCTCGATTTGGCGGCGAGGTTCAGAGAGATGAAGGGGGAGCTCGGGCGCCGCTGAGATGACGACGCCACGCGCGCTCACAGTCTTTCGAGACCGACAAGGGAACCGATCAGGACCATGCGATAAGGCAGAGATCCAGGAATATGTATTGGTCCTGCAGGTGGATGGTTTACCAGACGGCTGGAGCAACGACGCGAAGACCCACGAGTTCTGCTGTGTGACGAGCGAGCCCAGCGAAAAGAATATGGACGTTGGTGACGCGGCGAATTTCTGGAGGCGAAGCGCGTGGAGCTATGCGGTTTCTTTGACGGCCATGTCTGGGGGCGGGCTAATAACGAACTGACGGGCCCCAGCGAGGTGATTCGGGCGCGCTTCCTGCTAGCGTGGGCGAGGAACGCAGACGGTGGCGACCGCGCCAAAACACATTCGGGTCTTCAAGGCCTTCGAGACCCAGATGCGATCGCCGGGAAGTTGGCCAAGTTTTACCGACAATGCCCAGACGGAGCAGGACATTTTCTGCGCTGTTCGCTTTGCATCCACGGTTGGAACCTGTGCCGCGCTTCTGCAGGGAAATAAGCGCTCAGGCCGCGGCAATTCAGTTCTCCTTCCGCCGAGGGCGCGCAGGGTGCTCGGCCACCAGCCAGGTGCCAGGGTGAAGCTGCTCTAGGGCGCGCATGGCTTGGTCGACGCGCCGAGGCTCTGGTGGAATGAGGCAACTGACCGCGTGATCGGATGTGGCTTCGTGGCGCTCGACGGGGCCATCGGACAGCGCGCGGGCGACGCGCTGGGGGGAGGGGCGGGCCGACGATCTCAAGGAGGCTTACAATTTCAGGACTTGGGGGGGGCACGGCCGCGGGCGCGCTCGACGCGGCAGGCGACGCATCTTTGGATATCTGCGGCAACCAGCTCAGTAAGACCGCCGGCGGCGTACCCGACGAGCTGCGCGGTCTACTTCAAGTCGCCCGCGCCGATCACCGAGACGAAGAATAGAGCTAGCGACTACAAATTGGCCGTCGCCAAGGGTGAGCGCCGACAGCTACGAGGACTGATGGGAAGCTTGGCGCGGCCCAGCAAACAGGCGGCGCGTCGTTTGCAGCGCGGCGCCAGCCTGGGGCGGGGCACCATCAACGACGGCACTATTGCGCAGGGTCGGGCGGGGGCTAAAAAGACGCTGCGGCTCGCCAAGGCAAGCGGCGACGCGGGCCAGGTCTTCCCCGGGAAATGCGACGACCCTGGCGATGTGGCGTTCATCTGCGTGGCGGACGCGGCGTTGGCAGCGCGGCGAGACGGAAGCTCGCGGGGGGGCTGCCTCATCCTGGCGGCGAACGGGGGCATGCTGCTCGACGGGGCCGCACAGTGCGCAGCGATCGAACGGCGCTCTTGAATTCTACCGCGGGTGGGCAGATCCTCCACGGCAATCGCGGCTCGGGCCGCGGCCGGCGGGGTGGGCGCATTCGAGCGCGTGGAGATGCACTACGGCCCGATGCTCGGCCCGACGAGGGGCCCGAGGTCGAACGGTTCCGCGACGGTTTTGGGCACGGGCGCTCTCGCGGTGGATGCCTCGGCTTTCAACGGCGCGGCCCGCGCCCTCCACGCGCGCAAGTTCGATGACAAACGGGCGGGCGTCGAGGTGCCTGTGCTGAAGGGGCGCATGCCGGCCAGCGCGATGGGCTGGCATTGGGTCGGCGCGGAGCGGCTGTTTGCCGACAGATTCACCAAGCTGGCCGCTCGACAGTTACTGGCCGACCGTCTGAGGACCAGAACAGTCAGTTTGACGTTCGACCAGAATTTTCAGGTCGCAGAGAAGACAGCCAAGGACCGACCACCGGATGCCAAGATATTCGCTACATCGTGACCGAAGGCGACTACGACGACGAAGGCGGCCATGACACCTCTGTCAACAGCAGAAGCAAACAAGGTAATCATCCACGACGGCAAGAAAACCGATGCTCTGGTGGGGTTCGTGTGGGACGGCAGCCCGAAGGTAGTGATGACCGCTACTTTCGAAATGTGTTCTACAGATGCTGTTCACAATGGTGGCAGTTGTCTTGTTATGCGCGTTCGCGGGGTGCGTGGTTTACGCGAATGCGACCTGGAGGGCGAACCCCGAGGCGAACCCAGAGAGCACGACGAGGAGTTCGACTCCCGAGGTTATTCCATAGCACAAGCCATTAACCAGAGGAGGAGATAGCACTTCAGGGGGTGCATTAGGAGAAGAAGATCAGACTGAATACCGCCACGCGGGATGTTGGCGTGCAGGGCCTGGGGCGGTTCAACGCAGCTGGCAAACCAGACGGAGTTCAAGGCAGAAAACAGCATGTGGCATAAGGTGCCCGCAGAGGCTGGGGAGTTCCACGCGAGCTGCATGTGGCGCAGCAGAAGCCACACGATGAGACAGCGCCTGGCAAATCACGATGTTCATCCTGTTCCAGTATGTTGCGCATTCTGCTTCTGAGCTATTTCAATGTGTTCAGTTCGCGGCACGAATCGGCGCAGCTTTTTCTCTCGAGCGAAGGCTGGTACATTATGTGTTGTACCGACAGGTTGTTTTTTGCCCCAGCCAGTGTGAATTGCACTCCGTACATTGCGTTTCCGGAGGTGTTTCAGATCTTTTCTGGGTGGCGTGTTAGAACATGCCCCTCCCCAGCGCAGCTGTCAGAAGTAATGTGATGTATCGCAGCAGGTATGGAGCAATCAGTGTTGACATGGATTGCCGTTTTTGCCCGAGAGGCCTCTCGACCGACCTAAACGTTTATTTTCACCGACCACAGGCGCGGAGCGATTCCGAGGGGGAGTGTCAAGGAGAAGTCGACCAGGGAGTAGGACTTCGAACCTAGTGCGATCGAGGACTTCGAGAACCTCGACCGATTGACACATGATGCTGCCCCCCTTTCCTCCAGTAGCCCTCGAGACTGTGTACACTTTCGCCGTCCGCAGCCCCCCAGAGCTGGCGAGGTCTAGTCTGAATTTGCGCCTGATGCCCAGTAGATTGCCCCCGCTGCATCCCTCGACGCTGGTGCAACTGTCGCTGTTCGCAGCACCCGAAAGTTGGCGAGGTCTACTAGGAATCTGCACCCGGTATCCCTCGAACGTGACAATTGTTTCCCAAATTCGCGGCCCCGCGGGGGTGGCGAGTTCACGTAGGGTGGCGAGGTCGGAGGCGGCAGGTTTTCAGGCAGGTAGGGGGGGCACGAGGGCGAGGGAAGAGACAGAAGGGAAGAGAGGAGGCGGCAGGCGGGAGAAGATGGAGACCGCAATTCTCTGTCGTAGGAAGGAGAACCCAGCGCACGTTCTGGTAGTTTCCGAGCTCTGGGGGCGATCTCCCAGCCCCCCGACCGTCCACAAAGGGCCCATGACGAAAAACACGTGCTGAGTAAAGGGCCGAAATCCCGAGGGGCCGACGTAACGAAGAACATGTGACGTCCGAGGGGAGGCTCTCTCTCTCTCTCTCTCCTTCTGTCTCTCTCCCGGACGGGGTTAGGACGAGGTTTAATTCGTTCCAGATCGTCCCAGAATCCTCCCAGAGCGTTCCGGAAAACTCTGAGAAGGCCGCGGCGCCCGAGGCATCCTCCAGAACCGCGGGATATCTATGATTCTCGATGCATTATCCCCCGAAATGATTTTCGTCTTGGTTTCACGTTTCTCTCTCTCTCTCTCTTTCTTTCTCTATCTCTCTTTGTCCACATCTCTTGCAGTGCATCGAAGGATGATAACTGCAAGCGCGTAAACTTTAGGGCTCCGCTCGGATTTAACCGGTGGGCTCCCGAACCCCCTGTGGCGGCGCCTTTGGCGCCGCACTTGGCGTGCTCCGCGCGCCAGGGAGGGAGAGTGCAACGCCGATCTAAGAAATCTGCGCAGGCCTCCGAAAACGTATGTTCACCGAATTGCTTTTGTCTCTACTCTCGTGCTCTCTCCCTATCTCTAGCCTAGCCATGCAGCCGATACGCTGCGCATCGTTCTTCAACTCCAGAACCCGTCTCTCCGACTCTGGCGCCCGCCTCCGATTCCGATTCCTTCCCGGCATTGGCTCCCATCTCTCCAGCTTTGGCTCCCACCATTTCAATTCCAAATGAAGTTTGCTAATGCCGCGGCATGACCCCTTTTCTGGGCCCCCAACCGCCCGCGTTGCCCTCGTAGGACTTGTCCATCGGACCGACGATGCGCGCTCGCTCGTTCACTCTCGCGCTCTCTCTCTCTCTCTCTCTTTCTCTCGCTCTTCCTGGTTGTGTGTGCTGGTTTGTTATCATAGACGCTTCGCGTAACCTCACCAGCCCATGCAGACACGATGTCCGGGCGAGTTGAGGTGATCAGGGAAGTGCGGGAGCAAAGAGGTGGACGGCCGAACCGTGCGAAGGAGGGAGGAGGAGAGGGAAGAGGCTGGATGGATGAACGAGTGGGGAGAAGGAAGAATTACAGGATGATGATGATGATGATGATGATGATGATGATGATGATGATGATGATGATGATAATGGTGATGATGATGATGATGACGATGATGACGATGACGATGACGATGATGATGATGATGATCATCATCATGATGATGATGATTATGCTGGTGACGACGATGATGATGATGATGGTGGTGATGATGATGATGATGATGATGATGATGATGCTGATGATGATGATGATGATGGTGGTGGTGGTGGTGGTGGTGGTGGTGGTGGTGATGATGATGAGGATGATGAGGATGATGATGATGATGGTCGCTGTCTGTACTTTAATCCTGAAGTAGAATGAGAGCCGCCGGATACGTTCGCCTGTGTTCCAGTTGTTGGGTTTCGCAACAGTCGGCAGCATGTGTGTATTTGCTCTGTAGCCTTTTCACTCGAGATGCGCCCTGAGGGCGCAAGCCTGGCCAAATTCGTGACGCTTCGCGTATCTCCACCAGAGGTCCCGCGACCGCCCGCCGCTGGCGCTTCCGCCTGCGGCTGTAAAAAAGAAAGAAAAGTATCTCCACCAGCCGTCCCCACCTGTCGGGATGCTCGGCTTGATCACCTGGTAGCGCTGCCGCGCCTCTGCGTCCCCACCTGCTGGGATGTCTGAGCCGGTCACCTCTTAATGTGGGTCATTTTGTCCCAGGCACGTGCACACGCCCTGTGGCCTATGCGCCACTGCGGCTAATTATCTTCGTTCAGCGCCCCGAACGTTGCCCCGCTTCTTGACATTAGTCCTGGAGCCGCCGACCAAAAAAAGTACTCCACCAGCCCATCCAGACACGATCAGCAGGGGAGTTGGTGAATCAGAGGCGACAGAACGCATGCAGTCGCGCAGCCGTCTTCGAGAACACAAGTATCGCACCTAGCTTCCCGCATTGAAGTCTAAGACGGAAATCGGTGCAAGTTACGATGGTGCTTCGATGAGAGGTGAGGGGTATTTCGATGACTCGTAATGGCTGTTGCACTGATTTGTATCTTAAACTCGCGTGCGTTCCGAAACTTGGAGGCATCTTGGGGCCCGCTTGGGATTCTCCTGGGCCCCTCTTGGGGCCTCCTGGGGCTCTTTCTTGGGGCTCTCCTGAGGTCCTCTTAGGGCCTTCTTGGGGCTTCTTGGGGCTGTTTTGGGGCGTCTTGGGGCCCTCTTGGGGCTCTTTTGGAGGGTCTTGGAGCCCTCTTGGGGCTCTTTGAGGGGGTTCTGGGATGCCTCTCGGGGCCGTCTTGGTCCTTATGGCTAAACAAGGAGGGGGGGGGGGGGGGGGAATTATTGCCCCCCTCTCGGAGGCTCAAAAATGCCGTCTTGGGACCCTCTTGGCCCGCTCTTGGAGCGCTCATGGGCGCTCTTGGGGCAGTCTTTGGGCTCTCTTGGGCCCCTCTTGGGGCTGTCTTGGGCCATCTTGAGGCCTCAAGAGCCCTTCGGAGGCGAAAAAGCGAGAAGGCAAACAACATTGATATTCCTCCGGTTTTTGAAGGATTTTGGCCTCTTGGGGAGGTCCTTGGAGGCCTCGGAGGGCACTTGAAACCGTTTGGGGGCAGTCTTGAGGCCTCTTGGACGCGTGTCGGAGGCTATCTTGACCCGTCTACCGCTATCTTGGGCCATCTTGGAGGCCATCTTGCGCTCTCGGAGGCCCTCTTGGAGCCATCTTGGGCCATCTTGGACGCTGCTATGGGTCCGTCCCCCCCCGTCCAAACGCAGGGAGGGGGGGGAGGTAAACCTCCCGAGCAGGGAAAGGCAGAAGGTTGGAAAGGGAAACGCCCTAGACCACTTGCGCCCAGAGGGCTGGTGGGATTAGGCTCCCTCCTGGCCTGGATTGTCTTGGGCACGACCGCTCACCAGGACCTCGCCGGCGGCCCCGTGCCGCCACCCCCGCCTCCGTCGGCTGCGGAGGCCTCCCTGGAGCCTGAGGCGCCCTCAGCTGAGGAATGCGCCGCCTGGCTCCCGCCCGCTCCGCAGTGCGCGGGGCCAGTCGTGGAGTAGCGCGCGCCTTCGCTTGAGGAGTGCGCCGCCCTGCTCCTGCAGCGCTCGGCTGGCGCTCCGCTGTCCGAGCACGCGACGCTCCAGCAGGTGTTCCTCTCTCTCGCGGGCCCGCTGCTCGTGGAGGGGCTCCGCTGGCTGGGGTCCAGGCTCGCGCGCTGCGGTCGGCGCCAGGCCCAGCGGCCTAGCGCGCCCGCGCCCGCGCTCGAGAGCACTCGACCAGCGCCGACTTCGCCGCCGGGCGGCACTCGGCCGCCGCTGCAGCACATGCCTCGAGGCGGGGGCGTCTATCGATGATTGAGGGCGATGAGGTCTTCATCGAGTATATGCGGTGCAGCCACCGCTGTTGCACGGTCGCGCTGTGGTGGCTGTGTTATC